GTTCAGGCTGTTGGCCACACAACTTGGTTGGATGGATTAATGTGTTTGGTGGTTCAGTTGATTTTAAGTGGCCATATGTAGTTCTGCAAACAGTATTCATCTTCCATCTGTGAAATGTAAAAGTAAAATGAAATAATTCTTCCAAACTGAGAAACTTTCAGCAGTCCAAAAGTGCTCTTAAATTCGTATCCTGTTTTTTTCTTTTTGACAGAATTGCTGAACTAAAAGCAAACATCCCTAAACAATGAGTTATCAGGTTATCTAATGACGTGACTCTTAATATACTGGGTTTGGAAGAAATCTGGTGATGTTTTTGGTCTTTGGCTGAAGTTTTTTTTATGCATTTGATGTAAAGTTCTCACCTTCTCAGCAGATTTTAGTCAAGGATTACTTTTTGAAGCCATAATGCATAATCGTTCCTGCTGGCTGTGTGTGTTTAAAGGCTCAATTTGTTTTAAATGTGTTGAGTGTGTGTCAGAGGCCAATGGTGGTGTGAGGACTTTTGTCAGCAGGGAGACTCAGGAACACAAAGAGTCAGCCTGGTCTGATTGTCAGGATGCTTCTCTCCAGAGAGACACCAGTTCAGAGGTCAAATTGGGCTTATTTTTTTCAAACCGCTTGTGTACATAAAGGGCATTGGCGTTTGTGTGTGTGGCTCTGTTACACATTATTGTTTGTGTGTGAGTGTCCAAATGTGTCTCCATGTGTTTGGTTGCTTACAGTAGAAAATGAATCCCAAAGGAGGAGTATTTTCAGGACGTCCCTGTGGATGGGAAGAGAAAAGGGTGCTTGAAGACCATGAGCGTTCGTAGGGATTGGCTGATGGGGTCCACCAGGAATGGGGCAGATTTCTAATGAACAGCCATCTGAGGCCTTCTTTCACCTTGAACATGGGCCACTGCAGCTGCCCTGACATTGGCTTTGATCCACAAAGATGCTTGACCCCCACCATTCCCCCAGAGCTACCTCCCTGCCATCTGGACAGCACACATGCATATGTATACATAGCATGCACACACACACACAGATACATATGCATGTACACGTATGCTGCCCCAGATACACATATGTCTATACAGGTATGAGTTGGAGGACTTTGTCAATGATCATTTTTTGGAATCACACTTCTGCGCTTGAGCCAGCCGTAAGTCACTGTCATTGTTACAAGTCATGACAAGAGAGAGAGGAGCGTCCGGAAACAGCATGACAAATGATCGCTTCTGCTCATACTCATCATACAAAATGTGGAAATGTTAAAGACAATGAATTGCATTTGTGCTTTCCTTTTATTGCTGTCACTCTCCTCCCACTGTCATAACTCCATAACAACCTCCATATCTCCAGGTGTCTGTGTCCTAACCAAACATGTTTCACTTTTTTTATTATTATTTTGCTTCTTACCCTTCTGCAGGCTGCTACGCTCCAAAGACATTACATTGGTTTCCCAGTATTCTTCCTAATAGGAATGCAGCCATTTGGAACGTCAGGGTTCCATGGAAATTCCCAAAGAGGAGCAACACGGTCTGCTCTCACAGTCCTTTTTGCCTCGCATGTCGGCCCAGTTCAGCTGTAAATGACAGTTATGTCACGATTGGCTTGAGCTGCAGTCCATCTGCGGAAATGTAGACCTGTCTAAATTTTCTCTTTTTGTATTTTTTATGGCACACAGTGTAGTTGTGTGTGATAGAGTAAGACAGTTTATTGGGAAGACTTTTATAATATTTTAATGGAGTGTATATATTTTTTTGAAATGTGATAATCCAGTAAGTTTGCCAGACACTCACTATCTGTTTCTGTATCTTTATTTTCCTACAAAACTAGGTCAACATCAGCCGGCTTGGTGTCCATGACATGGACAAAGTCTTTGCGTCACTGTTCTAGATGTGTCCCTTGATTAGGTTAGTGCGAGGAGATGGCAGCATCTGTGCATTTGCGGAGGAACAAGCTGTGCCCATGGATTAGTAATTAGGAACAAGGAAAATTTGAGAGTGGGAGAGAAGAAGGCAATATTAGTACTCGGTGAGCATCAGGTCAGATTTCTTTGCAGCAATTTCTTTACTTGCACAAATAATTGAACATTCACTTAAGCTGATTATACCTCTCACTCTCACACATCCCCTTAATACCTTATATTAGCCTCCCTTACTTACCATCCATCTTTTACCACAATTTCACAACATATTTTTGCTCATTTCTGGATAATCCTACAGTATCTCCATTTTATTTTAGGGATTTTTTTCCCTCACTCCTTGTAATCCATTTGTCTAACTTAGATGGAGGGCAGCGGAAGGAAGTAGTGGAGAAGAGGCGTGTGTCAGAGTCAGGGAGCGTCTGCTCCAGCTGGAGTCAATATTTGCTTTAGGAATCTCAATAACAGGCCCACAGTCATCTGCATCTCTGATAATGGACCGCCATATGGCTCTGTTGACCCACGCTGTGCCGAGACACTTTCTGTCCCCATCTTTCCTTGTTTTTCATTTATCAGCTTCCCTCCAAGTTGTTTCATCGAGTCTTTCCTTCTCTTATTTACACATATCTATCCATCTATCTGTAAATATATATATATATATAATACACACACATATATTTTTTCTTCCACTTATCACCTCTCTGTGCACATGTTGTTATTTTTTTTACAAACACCCTTTCTTTCTATCCATCATCCACTAAACCCTGGATGTGACCCACCACACAGAGCTGTGACCTGTGTTACCATAGCAGCAGAGCCTGGGATGTCCTCTCTTTGTTCAACAYAGTTTCCAGCAAGTGACAGAAAACAGTGACGTTGCATGTTTGGAAGACAGATATAGAGCACATTAGGAAGTGCTTTTACGTGCTTAAAGTCATGCTGCTCTGCAGCTCTCCTGTGAAGAGTAGTCAATTAGTTACACTATATTACTTAGCAGGTCTCGCACCTCACTCATTTATTTATTCTTAGGTTGTTGCTTTTCCATTTGTTGTTTCCTGCTTGAACTGTGAAATATGTATTTTTTTCTGGATTCAGTGGTGAATTAGTTTTAGAGTTTGGCCAAGACGCTTACTTTTGCAGCAGAATAGCCTAAGAAATGACCAGTGTTTTGCAGAGTTGTAAAATAACTAAGTACAAATACTTTGTTACAGTACTTAAGTAGAAATTTAGGTTATCTGTACGTTACTTGAGTAATTATTTTTCAGCATACTTTTTACTTTTACTCATTACATTTTTACACAATTATCTGTACTTTCTACTCACTACATTTTTTAAAAAGGTAAGAAGTAGAAAGTCATTACTCCTATTTTATTCTGAGTTGTTATTACTTAAAAAATACTATCCTGATAAGTTGTGTCTCCTGGATAGAGTGAATTTAATTGTGGTTGGATGAGAAGTACAAATATTTACCATTCTGACATCCTATTAGCTTGTACACAACCCATCACAGCTGCACGCCGTTAGAAAAAAATATTTTGGAGAAGTCACCTCCCAATAAATGTCACTTTGGAAAAACTAACTGCTCAGTACTTTTACTTTTAATACTTAAGTAGATTTTGTGTCAGAAATTCACTTTTGATACTTAAGTACAAAAAATATCAGATACTTTAATTTTACTCAAGTAAAATTTTTAGAGAAGACTTTAACTTTTACGCAAGTATTTTTATGATGAGATACTTGTAGTTTTACTCAAGTATCACTTTGAGGTACTTTATACAACACTGGTGTTTTGATTTCTTTCTAGTATTAACAAAGTACTTTTTAATAGCAYTCTTATTTACTTCACCTTTGGTCTTATTCTACTCAGTGTCCACTTTTGTTCATAACCCTCAACAGCTTGGCTGCTGTACCCTCTGGTGTCTCTCGGCACAGGTGCCCGTCATCCTTGCTTCGCCATGGTTCCCCTCAAAGCCATTGGTCATGGCTGCCTTGGCCCCTGCTGTGGCGGCATGTGCCCACTGCCGGCTCCGTGCCCAGTGACTGTCTTGTCCTATCTGTCTAACCCAGACCAGCGCCCCTCGGCCCAGTCCAGCCTATCTCAGCTTAGCCTGGTACATCCTTGGCGTCAGCGGCAGCCTAGTTTCACTCCACCCTGGCAGCCATAATGAGCTGACGGGGAGGAGGTCATCAGCGTTCAATAACTCGAGTTCTGTGTTTGAGAGTGGAGAGTTCATGCATCTGTCAAGTGATTTTTACAGAGAAAATCAGACTTTTTCTCAGATATACGCACATTTACACATTATGCAGTCTTACCATCCTTACTATCATTATGTAATCAAATAGTTGTTTTTTTTTTCCTTTTACTCCAGTGATCTCCTGCATCATATTTTCCCCAGCACCTGCTTCCATTCCACAACAGACTTAGCAGGAAACATCCATGATAATGCGATGGTAATGGGTATCAGAATGTTTTCTACTCTCACCCAGCAGCCATTTTGGAGGCTTATTTATCTACTTATTTATTGAAGTTTCCCCCATCGCAGATCCAGCCATCCGTCCTGCATGCTGGCTGCCCAGGCTTCAGTCACTGCTTGTCACTCTGAATTTCAAATGGGTCCAATTTTCCCCCTGATGGCACGGAGAAGTGGCAGGCAGCACATCGGGGAGGGTGGTCCTAGACATGCAGCCTGCAGCAGGGGTTCTATTAGAGAGAAAACAGGAACGAGAGTCGGGAGAGGAGGGTAGTGATGTATTCCTTTTTTTGTGATTATTTTGGAGACTGGCTTGTGATATTAGGCCGTGTGGCATGGCTGATTGTTCCATCTTTGCTTTAGACTGATGGTGGAGCTGCTTTGTCCAGTGGATCTACCTCCCATCCTAACAGTGTTATGTTTTTTGTAAAATGCTAAAACATATGTTGGTATAGTTGTTTTTCCTGTTTACCTATGTTTCATATAAAGTCCTGTATTTAGGACCAAGTGAAAATATATTTAGAGAATTCATTTAAAATTTGTATGCAAGCTTTCACCTGTTGTCTCGTTTTTGCCTCTTCCTGCTCATTATACGTTCTTCCTTAACGAGACCTAACCAGCTACGAGGAGCGAGCGCTCTACTTGGAGGCCATTGTTCAGAACCACAAAGAAGTTATGACCTTTGAAGACTTCGCGTCGCAGGTCTTTTCCCCCTCCCCTGCCTATCCAGTGAGCGGAACAGGTGAGGAATAAACCCCGCCACACTTCTGTCCTCCATTTTCTCTTCATTGCTTCATCCCCACCTTTCTTTTTACCRCTTGTTTTCCTCAAACATCTTTTTRTTTTTGTACCTCTTGAGCCACATCGGTCTCTTTCTTTACCACGCACCTGTTCACCTCCTCCACCTTCAATCTCCCCTCTTCTTTAACGCCTACACTCACTGATGAATATCAAACAACAGGCCCTGCCTTTTCATACGGTCCGACTGACTTCAAACACGCTGTTTTCTCCACTTCCTCAAGCCTCGCTCACACTACTTTGTTAGTCTTTCTACCTTTTTTAACTGCATTTTTCCATGCAATTACCTCCCTATGAATATAAGCAGCCTCTTAAATGGCAGTTTCAGAGTGCTTGTTTGTATTTGTATATCCGTGTGTTTCCTCATGAGCTCACTCACTAACACTTTAAAGATCTGACCGACAAACAGCAGCAGCTCGCGGATGTCAGCACAGCCCTCTTATCAGTCCATGATGAATAGAATGGAAAACGTGTCTTATCTTGTTCTTCCTACTCGTACCAGCTCTGATCGATCTGCAACAGCACCGAAATCAATACGAGATTGCACTTTTCTACTCTATTGGATCCCGACACACATTCTGTTTTGACAAGGAAAGCACTTCACAATACTGCACCACAGATGTCATGTCATTTTCAAATATGTCAGGGCGTATATCTTTTAAAGGTGCTTTAGAGTGTATGCAACATATTTACTCTGTGTGGACAAGTGAAAATTAACTGTCTTGTTTTGTGTTTGTGTTTTGTTTTTGTTTTTTTGTGTGTGTGTTGGACTTTCAATACAAGCAGGTGTTATATTCAGGCAGACAACAAGTTGTCATTCACATTTCCATACCTTTGGTCAAGTTCTCTTGCAGAGGTGTAAAATATCTTTCAACAGCCAAAAAAAACACAACTATATA